AATAAAATAAAACATAGACATCACCTGCAAAAATAGGAATTCAACTGAAAAAAAAAAAAACCCCACACAGGTCCTTTTTGTGTCTCGGATACACAGAAAAGTCAATCCGTTCCTCGGGAGGAGTTTTAAGAATGTGTTGAGAGCATCTGAGTTCACATTAGAACGTCTCAGACTCGTGACGGCAGCGCGCTGCGTGAGGGAGAGAGAATTCCCACGCCGGCGCGTCCCGGCGGCACCCGTGGGGGCTGCGTGAGCGATTCGCGTGGGCGCAGCTCCCGTAATTCGTGGTCAGCCTTCGGACAGACGCCCCCAGAACACGGGCTGTGCGCCTACAAAGCTTTTCTGTTTATTAATCGGGTGTTAAAAGGTATGCAAGCTGCCTGAAACGCGTGCTGGTTTTGTGTTTTTTTTTCCCCCTGAAATTAGGAGGGCCGCTCTGACCCAAGAAACAAAACTCAGACCGTACACATGCCTCTGAGCTTTGCAGTCTAGAAGGTTTGGGATGGTGGAATTCTGTTTCGTTTTGTTTTTTGAATAACATTGATTTTTTTTTTTTTTTTTCATTTAAAGGGGGAAAAGTCACCATTTTTCTACCAGGTTTTTTTTGGGGTTTGTTTTAGAACTCAGGTTTCTAGGGGTCACTTGGTATCCGGCCATCGACAACATCAAATGGTATTTTCGTCGCCACATAAGCCACTTTCACGGGTTTACCTATAGGTTTACCTAGAGGAAGGGTTGGGCGGAGTGAGGAGGGACTTACTGAATTTCTGAAACTCAAAGTGGTGAATTGGTGAATTTCGTCCTGAGGCGTTCATGCCGAAGCTGCCTCCTCTGAAGTGACACACACTCTCATTTGTAATTCAAATACTCCTCTCAGCAATCCTCATCTGATGCTTCCTCCACATTTCTCATCATTTAAAATGTAAAGACGTGGTGGCCATGGTTTAGCTAATAGAGGAGGGTGGGGGGCAGACGTAGGTTTACAGTTGTACCTGGGATTCCTGTCGGGTTATTTATTAGTTATTTCCCATGCGAACTGCTGTCAACCCACGTTGGCCCCACCCTGGAAATATTCCACCACCACCAAACTCAAAGCCACTGATTTTTTAAAAATATGTATTTGTTTTGATGTCAGAGAGGAAGGGAGAGGGAGGAGGAGAGAGGAACATCCACGATGAGAGAGAATCATGGATCGGCTGCCTCCTGCACGCCCCACACTGGGGATCGAGCCCGCAACCCAGGCCTGTGCCCCGGCCAGGAATCGAACCCTGACCTCCTGGTTCGTAGGTCGAAGCTCAACCCCTGAGCCACGCTGGCCGGGCTCCATGGCCACTTTCAATGCCCCCGGCACGAGTGAACCCCAGATCGGCTGCTGGATGGTGGAAAGGGACAGAAAGGGGGCGACTGTGGGCTCAAGACAGACCCACACATTCGTCTCCCCCCCCCCATCCTGACGAGAAGGCACCGTTTCTAATGATTAACCCTCGGGGGTGGGGGGCTGCGCCCACACACAATGCCAGGCTGTGTTCCTTTGCTGGCGCGTCCGCCGTCCACAGCGTCAGGATAAACAGTTTCCCGGGGAGGACGAGGCTGCTGAGATCAGCCCTCGCTTTTATTGCCGCTGATAACACGGG